AGTCAGTAGTTAGGAAGGCAAATACAATGTTGGTGTTTATTCTGAGAGGACCAGAATATAAAAGCAGGGATGTACTTCTGAGGCTTTATAAAACTCTGGTCAGGCCACATTTGGAGTATTGTGTGCAGTTTTGGGCCCCATATCTCAGGAAGGATGTACTGGCCCTGGAGCGGGTGCAGAGCAGGTTCACGAGAATGATCCCAGGAATGAAAGGCTTAACATTTGAGGGACATTTGAGGGCTCTGGGTCTATACTTAATGGAGTTTAGGATGAGGGGGGGGGATCTAATTGAAACTTACAGAATACTGAACGGCCTGGACAGAGTGGACGTTGGGAAGATTTTTCCATTGGTAGGAGAGACTAGGACCCGAGCGCACAGCCTTAGAGTAAAGAGAAGACCCTTTAGAACAGAGATGAGGAGAAACTTATTCAAACAGAGGGTGGTGAATCTATGGAATTCACTGCCACAGAAGGCTGTGGAGACCAGGGTATTGAGTATATTTAAGATGGAGATAGACAGGTTCTTGTTTGTCAAGGGGATCAAGGGTTATGGGGAGAAAGCAGGAGAATGGGGTTGAGAAACGTAACAGCCATGATTGAATGATGGGGCAGACTTGATGGGCTGAATGGCCTAATTTCTGCTCCTATGTCTTATCATCTTATGGAAAGGTTGTTTCCCATTGTGGGAGTGTCTAGGACCAGAGGGAATGTTTTTATTCATTCATGGGATGAGGGTGTCGCTGGCTAGGCAGCATTTATTGCCCATCCCTGTTTGCCCAGAGGGCAGTTAAGAGTCAACGACATTGCTGTGGGTCTGGAGTCACATATAGGCCAGGCCAGGTAAGGATGGCAGTTTCCTTCCCTAAAGGACATTAGTGAATCAGATGCATTTTTCCCAACAATCGTCAATGGATCATCATTAGATTCTTAATTCCAGACTTTTATTGGATTCAAATTCCACATCTGCCGTGGCTGGATTCAACCCTGGGTCCCAGTAATATTCCCTGGGTCTCTGGAGTAACAGTCCAGAGATAATACCACTAGCCCATTGCCTCCCTAAATAATCTCACAATACGGGGTCACACATTTAAGGCAGAGATGAGGAGGAACTTCTTCTCTCAGAGGGTAGTGAATTTGTGGAACTCTTTACCACAGAGGGATTTTGAGGCTGGGTTATTAACTACTTTCAAGGCTGAGACAGATTTTTAAACTGTCAGGGAATTAAGGATCATGAGGAAAAAGCAGGAAAATGTAGGATTATCAAATCAGCCATGTTCTCATTAAATGGACAGAGCAGACTCGATGGGCTGAATGGCCTAATTCTGTTCCTGTATCTTATGGTCTTGTTATGGTCAGAATTGCTTTGTCAGTGAATAAAGTTTTCTGCCCAGCTGTACACACACTGGGTAAACAGGAATCACATTGAACAGTTGTTTAAATGCGAATTAGATCCTCTCACTTTGTCCCTAAGAAGCAAATAAAGATTCCAATTTAAACTGGGCCAATCATTAAGAATCATTGGGTAGGTGCAGAGATCATGAGGTAAGTGCAAAGTAATTTTTCACAATAACCCTCAACGAACAAATAGCTCTGTAATGCCAGTTGCTAAATGAAATCTTGAATGTTTCTGTTTATGATGGCTGTGGAGACACTGATTTAAAAACTGAATAAATACATGAGGAAAGATTTATTTTAGCATGGTTTCGTGTGATCTGGAACGTGCTGCCTGAAAGGGCTATGGAAGCAGATTCAATAAAAACTGATTGAAGGGAATTGGAGAAATCCTGGAGAGGCGAAGAAATTCTGCAGGACTATGGGGAACTTGAAGTAAATTGGGATTAAATCAATAGCTCCTTCAAAGAGCCAGTACAGGCATGATGGACTAAATGGCCTCATTGTGTGCTGTTAGATTATGTGATTCTATGAAAGTAAATGAGACACAATGCATTTTTGCCCATTTTCAAGGGATGGGTGCCAAAAGCAAGTTCAGTATTTGTTCCTTTCGGACTATACGACATCGCAGCAGAAATAAGCCATTCAGTCTGCTCTGCCATTCAGTGAAATAATGGCTGATCAGACATTGTAGACAACCACGTTGCTGTGGGTCTGGAGTCACATGGAGGCCAGACCAGGTAAACGATGGCAGTTTCCTTCCCTAAATGACATTAGTGAACCAGATGGGTTTTTACCAAATTCAACAGCATGATTTCATTTGGATGTTTGTTGAAGAAAATTTTATCTGCACTGGTGGCTTTTAAGCTCATGTCATTGAATCACTGAAATGTCACAGCACAAAAGGAGGCCATTTGGCCCATCATGCCTGCACCAGTCTACTACCCAGTGCCAATTTGCTGCCTTTTCCCTATATCCCTGACACTATTTCTATCCAAATAACCATGCAATTCCCTCTTGAATTTCCCAAATGAACCTGCCTTCACCACATTTTAGGCAGTGCATTCCACACCCAACTGGTGTCCTGTTCTGTCCCCGGAGCATTAACCCGAGTTTCTGTAATACTTGTCTAATGACGTTGCCACAACATATGAACAGACTGGTTTACTCTCTGGCTGTTGCCAGGGAGAGTGATGGTATCGGTAACGCACAAGCTGAGTTCAAAGAGGGGGCTGAAGATAATGGCGTCAGTCTCCCTGAGATTTATGCAGGGCAAAAGCCTCCTCATGCAGCACGGGATGCTGGTTACAACTGGATTGGACAAGAACGGGAGCAGCTGAGAGCAGTCACGCCCAGCTGGGAGACAGTGGCCAAGAGGATGGAGTGGCGCCTGCACAGAGACTGAGGATGGCAAGAACGGAACCCTTACATTTGTCATAGTCTCATGGGGAAGGCTATTTTGTAACTGAAGTAACACCACACAGGCTGGTATCCTGTCACCAAGTCAGCCTTTATTTACACGGGTTTAGTAAGAATACTGACCCAGCTAGCTCAGAACCGGTTCCTAGAGTGAGCAGAAGCCCTGACACTCCTGTTTATATCTGTCAGCCAGGGCTCCCTAATTGGGCCAGGATAACAGCCCCAGTCAGGGAACTCAGATTCTATGAGGTCCACCTGACTTACATCCCCCCAACTCTACGTCCTGGGACGTAGGCCTGTTCTTTATCCTGTAGCTTATCTTGGGACGTTTTCACACCAGGTGCAGTCCCTCCAAGTCTGCCTTGAATACAGGCCACATGTACCAGGCCGTAGCCTGCCTCTTGCACACGGAACATCTCGGCCGAAATCCACCTTCTGCTTCAGGCAGTAACAGCTTTGAGGCTGTGACATCAGCCATATCCATCTCAGACTCTGAGGTGTCTTTGATGCTAAGCGGAGGGGAAGAACCCATGGGTTCTGACAGCCTTGCTGGATGTCCTGAGGGGCCGGGTAAGTTTACTCCTGCCCTGTTTGTGAGGTTGCAGCTTTCATGTGGTCCATGTCCTTTGTTCAGGACTGCCTCTCCTACCCGAACGTTGTACGTCGTGCGATCTGACCTCGCATTGACCATGTCTCATACCCATGCAGGGCTATTCCTATGGTTCCTACACCAAACATTGTCCCTTAAAGCAAACTGTCTCTCTCGCCAAGCACGGGCACTCCTGATGCTGTTACACGCTCCCTTGCAGGTCTGGGACGATCAGATTTAACCTGGTACGGAGACTTCTCCCCATTAGCAACTTTGCTGGAGCTATCCCTGCAGTTGCATGGGGGTTGGTCCAATAGTCAAACAGGGACCAGGAAAGTTTGGTATCGAGTGAAACTGTAGGCTGTTGCTTTAAGCCTGTCTTCAGAGTTTGGACTGCTCTTTCCACCGGCTCATTGGGCAATGGATGGTATGGAGCTGTCCAAAAATGCCAAAGGTCATTCGACTTTAGGAAATACTCGAATTCCCTGCTGCTAAGCGACAGCCTCTTGTCTGTGACCAGCATCTCTGGGAGTCCGTGTGTTGTAAAAAGATACTCGCAACTTTTCAACTGTTGTCCCCAATGTTTGATGAATGAATTCTATGCACATCCAGCTACTTTGAATGGGTGTCCACAATGACTAAAAATAGTGGTTCCAATAAAAGGCCAACACGGTCGACAAATAACCGAATCCATGGTGTACCCAGCCATTCCAAATGAATGTGGGGGAGCTGCCAGCGGTGATTTTTGTCCTTGTTGGCTCTCTGAGCACTGTCCCACCAATGTGGCTACATCAGCATCCAATTCTGACCACCAGATATAACTCTGTGAAGGCCGGTATCTCATTAACAAGTCACCCTTTTCTATACTTGACACTGGTCTGGCTTCCTCAGAGCCAGATCTCAGAGTGAACAGCACCACTGACACTCCTGCTTATATCTGTCAGCCAGGGCTCCCTGATTGGACCAGATGAACAGCCCCAGTCAGGGAACTCATATTCTATGATGTCCACCTGTCTGACTTCGTTCCCATCACTACAGTAAGGTTGATAAGAACTGTCCCCATACTAACCAGGTGTTCTTTGGATTACAGCTGGCCAAAGGCATTGTCAAAGAGGCAGGTTTTAAGGAGACAGAGCAGGAGAGATGGAGATGTTTAGGAAGGGAATTCCAGAGCTCAGGGCCAGGATCTGAAGGAATGGCCACCAACAGTAGAGTGATTAAAATCAGGGAATGCTCAAGAAGCATCTGGCCAATGAGAGAACAGCACACATCAAGGAGGGCTGTGCACTCTCAGAGGTGACAGCCCCTGACTGTACAAAACCCGTCTGGTAAATCTGCTTCCTCCATCCTCTTTCCCAATGGGCAACGACAGCCTAAGGAAAACCACCAGGTATGCGCACGAGAAGTATTTCAAAGCAGTGGCAGGATTGACCACAGCCAGACTGTGAGCCGGTGAGGAGAGGAGGGATAGGGGGACTGGGCTTGGTGCTGGGTAAAGGGCCTGATCAAACACCTACACCATTTCACTAACGTCCCAGACATTTCAGCACAATCTCTCTTGCCATCAGAATATTGTAGGGGACAGAAACAGTTCACCTACCTGCTATGGATTGGTCCCTTGAACGTTGGATCAAATCTCCGAGGCTCTCCTGGAAGACAGAAAGACGCAAGTCAAAACTCATTCACAAAATACATCCAGCAAAAGCAGAGACTCTCACTACAATGAAATAGGCCATTTGGCCCCTTATACCTGTGCTGGCACTTTGAAAGATTTATCCAATTCCACCTCCATTTCTTTTCACAGATCCCTGAAAATTATCATGTTTTAACTCTCCACTCAATTCCTAATGAGAGGGATCAGAGGATCGTTGTTAAACAAGAAAAAAAAACTGTGGGTGCTGGAAATCAAAAACCGAAACAAAAACAGAAATTGCTGGCAAAGCTCAGCAGGTCAATGGAGAGAAATCAGAGTAAACGTTTTGGGTTCAATGACCCTGCTTCAGAACTGGTCATCACCTGCTTTGACCTGGCAGCAAAATGTCCCAAGAACCATCCCAATGTTCCCAAGTGGCAGCAAAGGGATTTTGATAAGGTCATGTGGAAGATAAATATGACATGCAGAATACAAACTCTGTCAACACACACAGACCAGACACTTTGCAATGTCAAACAAGAAATCAATATTCATTTTCAATTATTTGCTTCTGTGCTGATTGTAATTACATTATCCAACATCAATCTTACCATTAAACTGGGGGATTTCAATGTGGACACATCTCAAATTCACACATTGCTTTTTTGTCAGAGCATGGGTCTGACAAAAAAGCAATGTGTGAAGTCAAGACAGAAAACCTGATCAGACACTCCTCACTTTGTGTTAATGTAGCACACCCACCAAGACAACCTGCATTCATACAGCACCTTTCACCACCTCATAACATGCCAAAGAATTTTAAAAGCAAGTAAAATGCTTTTTAAAAGGTCTCACTATCGTAATCTACAATCCAATTGGTGAGAAGTGAGTTACTACAAATAGCAATGATGCTGGCTGATGGATCAATACTGTGGAGAACACTGGGGAGAACTTTTATCTTACTTTTCCCTCAGTACCAACCCTCCGATAGTGCAGCACTCCCTCAGTCCTGACTCTCCGACAGTGCGGCACTCCCTCAGTACTGACCCTAAGACAGTGCAGCGCTCCCTCAGTACTGACCCTCCGACAGTGCGGCGCTCCCTCAGTA